CACCATTCTTTTCTCTTAAGAAATCTTTCTTGCTCCTGTCTGCTTACTGAATCTTATCTAACCCTCAAGACTCAGTTTGATTGATTTTTAAAAAGCTTCCACTGAGCATCCAGTCTGTGTCAGGTACACTTCTAGCATTGTTTAGATTCAACACAACACACAGGCCCAGATATCAAAGAGCTTACAGTTTGATCAGAGAGATAGATAATTATGAAAGAGTCCAGAAGAGAGGGTGATTCATTGTTTTTTGTGTGTGTGTTTGAGGACTGGGAGCTTTAGGGGGATGCCATGAAAGGCTTCAGAGAAATACAACCTGAAACAAAGCTTTTTGTTTGTTTTGTTTGTTTTATTATTTATTATTTATTGTTCATTGTGTTCAAATTTTTGTTTTGGAAAATTTCAGACCTACAGAAAAGCTGCAAGAACAGAACAATGAACACTTGTCCACCTTTCACCTATAATTCCTCTATGGTTAACACTTCACCACCACATTCCCTTTTTATCTCTATTTAGATATATAAACAACATATTTATTTGTTTGCTTGTTTCTTTTTGCTGAATCACTGCTTGTTAACTGCAGATACAGCAACACCTTAGCCCTTTGGTACGTATCTCTTAAGAACAAGTACAGTACATTCTCCTATGTCACCACAACAAAATGACCATACTCAGAAATTTTAACATTGACCCAACATTATTATCTAATATATAATTTATATTCAAAACTCAACAATCCTCCCAATAGTGTTATCTGTAGCTGCTTTCTGCACTCTCCCCGACTTTGATCCAGGATGGAATTAAGAATCACACATTGCATTTAGTTGTCATGCTTCTTTCACATCTTTTAATTTGGAATGGTTTCCAAACCTTTTGTTTTGTTTTGTTTTGTTTTGTTTTGGTCTTACTGATATTGACATTTTTGAAGAGTTGAGGCCAGTATTACAGAACATCCTTCAATTTAGATGTGTTTGAGTGTTCCTTTGGTATTAGATTCAGGTGAAATATTTTTGGCAAGAATACTACCAGAATGTGTCATTCCTAGTACATTGTATTAGGGGCATATGATACCTGTTTGTCCTATTATTGGCAGTGATAATTTTGACCACCTTGTTAAGGTGACATTAGGTAGGTTTCTACATTGTAAAGGTAACTTTGCCTCTTTTAACTAATAAGAAATGTGTAGGGTAGTACTTTGAGTTTGTGGGATTATTTTTGGATTAGGATTTTGAAGGATGAATAGTTTTCCAGGCAGATAAGAATGGGAGAAAATTCTAGATAGGAAAGGAAGTATATAAGAAGGCACAAATGTGTGAAATGGTGTGGAGGGCAGA